CCCCATTCCTTCTAGCCAGGAAAGACAGGCTTTTGTGATCCTCTTTGTTCATTGTTCCTCCTTACACCTCTGTCTGTGCTTTAATCTTGTAAATGTTGTTTTTAATTTCTTCAATGCAAGTGTCCTTTTTACTGTGTTTGTACAGCACCTAACACAAAGTATTCTGATCTAATTCAAGCCTCTGGGTGTTGCTGTAGAGCGATGAGTAAAGAAAAAAAAATATATATAGTAATAGGAGTATTCCTTGATGTATTTGACCTTAAATAAGGCAAAAACCATTTCTGAATAGCTTGCAGACATGTGGTGGGGAGGGTTTGATAACTTAGACTTAGGTGCTGTTGAAAACCGTCTTTTTTATATATATATTTTAGACTTGTGCTCTAATGCGTGTAACAGTGATTACATAAATTAATTTAAGCCAAAATACATCAATAGCAATATTTTATCAAGTTGTCTTCAATTTTGCTTGAAGGTATAGTTCATATTTTCTAACAGTCTACCCACATGTGAATTATTTATATGTTGAATTTTATGTTTTCTTGAAACACCATTGTCATGCTGAGCTTGATGTTAATTTTTTCTTCTGCAATAGAGAGCATTTCTATGGGTGTACTTTCTCTGTTAATTACACTTTATTACCTGAATTGATTGGTTTTTTTAATCGTTTAGTTCATTTTTGCTGAATGAAACACTCTGGCATAAATTTTAAGGTCCCTTTAAAAAAAAAAAAAAATCACTGGTAAAAGTTAAGTGATTTAGGATTTTTGTTCGGTCTTACTCTAGGGAAGGAAAGGGCACAAAACAGTGCAAAATGTTTTTTTTTTTTTCCCCCCTGTTTTCCTGCTTGATAAATGGGGGGTGTGGGGGGGGGAAATTGTGCTGTATATCACAACCAAAAGCTATTCCAAGAAAAACCTTTAAGATGGTTACTTGAATCTGTGTACACTGCCCACCTGGTGGTTATGGAGTGAACTGTTACTTTAAAGAATAGTTTAAACAACAGCCATGTTTGGGGCAGGCTAATCTTGCAAAGAGAGCAGTACATATAACAGGAGTCTACTGTATGATAAGGGGAAAATTCAGCTCACTGACTAGATGTTTTAATGTGCGAACTCTAGGGAAATAACATATTGACTATTCTGTTGTGCGCAAGAAAATTGAAGAACCCTTTGCAGACAGAGGGCTTGCAAAGGATTCTTTCTGTTCCTCTTAACCAAAATCTGTGGCAAGATGTTTGAAATCAGCAGGACGCTTAATGCTGCTTTGTTAAATAATGAGGTAATATTTTGTCACTTTTTCTGGGCAGCATCTGTTTTTTCTCCTTTTTCATATGTTTATGAAGGATTCAGTTTAATCTTATGAAAGTAGGAGATTAAAAAAATCATTCTTCAATTTATTATTTTTTTTTTTCCTTTTGATGCTTTTGGAGAATTGGGTTGGCTTTTATTTGCGGTTTCAATCGGCTGCTGTTGCCTAGGACATTATGCCACGTAAGGCTTCTAAACTGCACAGAGTAGGTAGTTATTAACGCTGAATTGGCTTCTGGTATAGTCCATCTGGGCTCTGTATGAGAGAGCTTGCTAGCGGCTACTGATGCTAAGATACCCGCAACCTTTGGGATGTATGCGTGGTGGAGAGGGGCTCAGTGATATGAGATCACTTCTTTTAAGGGAAACTGTCATTAATGAGTCAAGAAACTGCTCATTTATGGTAAGGAGAGGGAGGGGGGGTTGGGGAAACAACCCTGTGATTTCATTTTGATATTGGATTAGCTGTTTAAGACAAGTTTCTTTTTTGTGGGGATGGAAGATTGCATTAAAAATATGCTTTGCTCAGGGGCTTACTGGCTGATTCTGGAGAGGCTATATTGAGAATTTGATGCTTTACAAATGTGTCACAACTGCGATGCAGTGGTCAGTCACTCACCCTGAGAGAGAAATGGTAGTATTGGAAACACGAGAATAAGGTTGACTTTTTCAACAATAGGATTCTGCCTTTGTCTTTACAGAGAGAGGCCTCTGAGGACGTTTGAGCGTTTGTTTTAGCGTTCCTCGGCAGGACTGAATGTGAGGGGTGTTTGGGGGAAAAGTGGTCAGCGTACAAAGTACCTGGATTTATAGACTGTTAAAATAGCTAATTGTTTAGAAGCACAGGGTGCAATTATTGTTTCAGAAAAATGGCTGAATCTTTTGATGTGTATAAGAAATGTATAGCAACAAAGTAGGCTGAAGTTGAAAAGACTTAAAAATAATTTCTCGATTCCTTCTGCAGTGTTATTAACCCCTGAAGAGACCTTAAGTAAAAATTTGCATTACAAATTTAACTTTAATATTCAATGTATATTTGCACAAGAGTCTATGGTAATATACTAGCTCTGTAGCATTTCGATGCCAGTGTATTCACTCTAATAGGTCACTTAGTATTTGAGTTAGGAAATCAATCTTAGTTTAATCTTTTCCAGTTTTTACTAAGCTACAAATGTGCTCAAAAAGATGCATGGTAAGAGAAATCCTCTGCAGCCTTTGAAATTGCTCGTATTTTAATTGAATTCAGTGCTCATTCCACAAATAGGTTGCATGGTGCTTTTAAATGCTTGGTCTTTTCTTTCTTGCTTGGTCTGTTTGTAGCTAGATTTGTACAAGCTTACTATATTTCATATATTTTATTGGTGTGTTTGTGTGTGGGTTTTAGTGTGTCTATGGCTTAAAGAAATTTAAAATGTACCGAATGTCAGTTCTGAGCTTAACAGTTCTTAGAGCATATTTATCCTTCAAAAAAAAAAAACTATAGAACAATGATTTTTCTGATTACGTATTTTTGAAAGTGTTTTTAGTGTTTTGTAGCCAGGTTTTGTTTCTCCAGAAGAGCGAAGTGAGCTTATATCATGGCCCATCCTAGCTTTCTCCGTTTTTAGCTCTTAACGTTTAAAAACGCTTGCAGTGATATTGAATCTTTAAAAGCCATATTTAGCTGTTGACTAGAATGATAAAATTAAATGATTCCTATGTATGTTTATGGATTAATACGCGGTCGCTTTAGTTTAGGCGAATGTTAATTCAAGGTTAGTTGCAATTATAGGATGCCATGCCTTGTTAGTTTGGCCAATACACGCTTTCAGAAAAATAGCTCCTCAAGTCAGAAAAGAAATGAATGCATCGTAATTAAAAGAATTTTTAATAAACTTGCTGTGGCTGGGAGATGGGAAAATATTGCTGTTTGAAATTGAAGTTTTGTTAGTTTGTCAGTGGAAGCGAGTGGAGGATTAATGGGTGTTCATTGTTAAGTTAAGCACGTTCCTCTCTAAGGCTGGAAAAAAATTTCTTTCAAATGCCCAGAGTTAGTCATCATTTTATTTCCTGTAAAGTTGGGGAATAACGAAGTGAGGTAGCGAAATAATTCTAAAATACTACTTTCATTCTGTGAGAATGTTCTGATAAAGAGATGTCTGCTGTGCTTTAGACAAAGTCAAGTGACAGGAGTATCAAATCTAGTGCTAAAAATATATATAATTTTGAAAACTCTTACCGCTAAAGGAGGCAAGAGTAGTTGATTAATAAAATCAATAGTACCTAAAAATAAATGCAGTTTAAATGCACACTGAAGTGCTTTTGTCGTATCTTTAAGCCTAGAGGCAGATCATTAAATATGCATTTCTCCGGAAAGCAACTGTCTCAAAAGATAAGGTGGTTAAAATACTCTGGACCTCAAAGCCATGCGTGCAAGAGGTAAGAAGATGTAGTCGCTGAAGCATGGCTGAGGTACGACATCTCCACAGCAGAGGCTTACAGACTGTGGATGTGGCCTGCAACTGTTACTGTACTTGTGGGGTGGGAAGAGGTAAAAATACATGTATGTGTGTTGTTTCTTCAACTGGGCCTTAATTACTAGACACAAGCAGCAGTTCAGAAATCTGGTCTCTGTTGTTGTAGAGGTCACCAAATCATTAACATTGTCAATCTGGCGGTAGCTAATTTCAATAGCACCTGATGTTGCAACGCCTCCCTTAGTGTCCCCGGCCAATCGGCGCCCGGCTTCTGCTGACAGATGGTCCCATAAATGGATGTAAAAAGGAGACGCTGCAAGCCAATTTCAGCAAGGCTCTGTTCAGTTGTTCTTATCTACATCCTAGAATCGGGGGGCTTCAGCACAGTGCGCTTTTTTTATTCTTTTGCTGCACAAACGTCTGCACTGTGCTTTGTGGATCTTTAAAAAATAATAATAAAAATAATTCCCTGAAACCTTAGCAAATCTTTAGAAGAGTTGAAGCCTTTCAAGACCCAATATTTGCCATTAAGAATGGTTATGGTAGGTATTAGTAGATTTAAAATCTGCTTATAGCAATTTTATATATATATAGATAGATATAGAATCTAACATATAGATTTCCCCAAATCTGCATCATTCTCAGTCTGTGTTTTCACATGAATTTAGTTTTCTGCTACTGATTTGTTTGTACATTATCTCTCCCTTTTTTCCTCTCCCTTTCTCTCTCCCCTGCTTTCTCTGTCTCTCTCTCTCTCTCTCGCTCTCCCTTTCTTTCATATTTAATGTGTGCGTATCCTTTAATAAAGGATGTACTTTGTCATTTTAAGGTAATTGTGATTTCTCTCAGAATAAAGAAATAGCTCATTTCTAATGCAAGGCTGGTATGTGGCTAACTGAAATGCAAAAGGAAGAAGAGGCTTTTTTTTTTTTTTTTTTTTTAAGTGGCGGGGAGGGGGGAGTTAATTTCCACATTGACATTTTGGAGATACAAATGCGGAGCAAAATCCTTGGGAGGAAAAAAAAAAAAGCCTCGAGATTGGTAATTTTCTTTTGGTGGACTGCGCAATAGGTATGGTAATTTTAAAGAGTGATTTATATGAGCTTCAGTAAATGCTGCATATTGTATTTCAAAGAGTTTCCTGTCATGACCTCATAAAAAGAGGAGGAGGCTTGTATGTGTTGCAGCGCCTAGTATATGTCGATTTTGTTGCATCGTTGGGCAGCAGCACTGTAAGAAGGAATGTCAGCTTTTACATAACGTTCTTCTTGCTTTTGACTCTGTGAGGGGCTGTGAGGGTCCTTCTTTGTGATCACAGATGGAGTGGAATGGCTTGAAAATGGTAAGT